AACATAAAAGACTTTTACTTATATGGAATAATGGAAAAAGGTAATAATTTCCGCCTAGCACCGCAACGTATCAAATTAAACGGTGAATTCACCAAAGAAGAATTACTGCAAAAGATTGGAGAGATGGAATGAATATTCTTGCTATATTTGACGGGATAAGTGTTGGTCGTGTTGCATTGGAAAGAGCATCGATCAAAGTTGATAATTATTATCGTGCAGAAATAGACAAACATGCAAATATTGTTGCAAGTAGTCATTATCCAGATGATATTAATTTTGGTGATGTTATTAAATGGCGTGAATGGGATTTAGATTGGGCTAGTATTGATCTATTGATCGGTGGTAGCCCATGTCAGTCATTTAGTATAGCTGCAGCGATAACTGGGAATAGAAATGGTTTAGATGGGAAAAGCGGATTGTTTTATATATATCTGGATATTTTAAATCACATTAAAAGTCTTAATCCAAATATTAGGTTTATGCTTGAAAATGTAAAGATGAAGAATGAGAGTAAGAAGCAACTAGATGAATATTTGGGAGTTAAGGGTAAATACTTTAATTCAGAGCTAGTCTCATTTCAAAAAAGACCTAGATATTACTGGACAAATTGGGATTGGGATTTACCAGTTGATAAAAAAATATCATTTCAGGACTATAAACAAGATGGAGACTTATCGAAATATAAAGTGAAAGAAACACCTAGTCGCATAAAGATGTGGAGTAATGGCAAAGGAAGAAAAAATGGTTTTGGTGCTTGTGCTAATGTAACATATAGCGATAAGATTTACTGTCTTACTACAAAGCAAGACAGATGCCCTAACAGTGGTTTAATAGAGTATGATGGCTTCTGTCGTTACTTAACCCAAAATGAGTTAGAAATAGCCCAAACACTACCAACTGGATATACTTCATGTGTTTCATACAACCAAGCACAGAAAGTTCTGGGTAACGGATGGACTGCAGATGCGATAGCTCATATTTTTAGAGGAATAGAATGTGGATAATATTGTTTGTTGTATACTTAATAAACAATAGGGTTAAATTATAAAACGATACTCACACACACCATAAGGAAATAATTCAGCAAGAATTAAATCAAAAATCCGTATTGTGCAGATTGGTTAGATGGTAGAGGTTTTGTTCCTAACTTTATAAGTAGACAATTTGGTGAAATAATTGATATTAAAGATGAAGTTTTATATGATGTTAATTATGGAACAAATTGTCTTGTTGAGACTTTAGCTGGCACTTACTGGATTTCAACAGAATGTTTGGAATTATCTAATTAGGAACTATTTTATGAATCGTTATTTAGAACAAATTGAGAAGTTAAGTTGGATTATCAGAAATTGGATTTTAATAAATCAAGAGCCTATAATTGCAAAAGAAGATTACTACAATACTTTTGGAGATAATTTAAATATTAAACATGGCTTATGTGCTAATGCAAAGTTCAATGGTATTCCTAAATATGTTAGAGAAGAGATGTTCAGGACATACAAGAACTGGAGTGGTAGTTATAATTACCCATTATCTGATTTTGAGGATTATTCTTACATTTTCAACTTTACAGACACTAAGGAAAGACTAGATTTAGCAAAACACTGTCTAAACTTCCTAAATAATCGTGTAAAGTTATACGACATTCAAATTAGAAAATTAGATTTCATTATTGAAAATTGGGAATTAATTGAAATCAAACCTGCAGTTGTTTATTTTGAATTCTTTGATGAATTTGGAGATAATTTAAACTTTTTACATGGTTTATGTAGGAATTGTG